GGTTATCCCAGGATTCTGGGGGTTATCCCAGGCTCTGGGGTGTCCATACTGATGTAGTGGTGTCCATGTGGGGCAATATCCCGGGATTCTAGGGGGTGATCCCGTAATTTTGGGGGGGTGATCCCTCAATTTTGGGGGGGTTATCCCAGGATTCCGGGGGGGTTATCCCAGGATTCTGGGGGTTATCCCAGGCTCTGGGGTGTCCATACTGATGTAGTGGTGTCCATGTGGGGCAATATCCCGGGATTCTAGGGGGTGATCCCGTAATTTTGGGGGGGTGATCCCTCAATTTTGGGGGGGTTATCCCAGGATTCTGGGGGGTTTATCCCGGGATTTTGGGGGTCCGTACCCACGCAGTGGTGTCCGTGTGGGGCGGTCTCGTAGCCGGGGTCGCAGGCGCACTGGAAGGATCCGGGCAGGTTGTGACAGGTGGCGTGGGGGCCGCACAGGGTCCCGTTGGAGCACTCATCCACGTCTGGCACGGGGGGGACACGGGGTCAGGGGGAACCCCAATCCCATTCCCAATCCCATTCCCACCCCAGTCCCTGTGTCCCCGTGCCCACTCCAATCCCATTCCCATCCCATTCCCATTCCAATTCCCATCCCATTCCCATTCCCTCACCGACACACTCCCCACTTGTTCCCAGCCAGAATCCTGCCAGGCACTCCCTGTGTCCCTGTGCCCACCCCAATCCCATTCCCAGATCTCACCCCAGTCCCAGATCCCACCCCAATCCCATTCACACTCCAATCCCATTCCCAATCCCATTCCCTCACCGACACACTCAGTGCCCGGCTGGAATCCCGCCTGGCACTCCCTGAGTCCTTGTGCCCACCTCAATCCCATTCCCACCCCAACCCTATTCCCACCCCAATCCTATTCCCAGATCCCACTCCAATCCCATTCCCACCCCAATCCCATTCCCACTCCAATCCTATTCCCAGATCCCACCCCAATCCCATTCCCACCCCAATCCTATTCCCACCCCCATCCCATTCTCACACCAATCCCAGTCCCAGATCCCACCCCAATCCCATTCCCACCCCAATCCTATTCCCACC